AGAATCAGCAATACTCGATCTTATTCTTACAAACCTGTATAATTTATATGACCGCCTAATGTCCTTGCTCCATTAGGATCCAGTGACCATAATATTGTACACTGGCTACCTTCAGTCGATAGCATTCCCAGCCACAACATCCAAGCAAAACCTGTTAAATCCTTAGTACGGCGCTATCCCAGATCAGGAATAGATGCTTTCGGAAGATGGGTTACCACACATAATTGGTTTTGTGACCTTGAACCCAACCCTACTGTTGATAGCTTGGCAACCTCGTTTACAAACCAGTTAACAGAAAGTATTGACCGAATCTTCCCACAACAGACGTCAACACGTCATCACACCGATAAACCATGGATAACACCTGCAATAAAACAGCTTATCAAATATCGACAAAAGGCGTTTCATGGTCATAATACAATCTTGTGGAAATCGTTGAAATATAATGTCCAACATGAAATCAATGCGAGGAAAATATCGTACTACAAAACAAAGGTACAACATTTAAAGAAGGATGACTGCCGTATGTGGTGGAAAATCGTAAATAAAATGGCAGGAAAATCTGGAAAGAACTCCTTCTCGCTTGAACATGATGGAAGAACTCTGGATCAATCAGAACTAGTTAGAGCTTTGAATGTGTTCTATGCATCGGTGAATAGTGACATTCCACCACTTAATTTAGCGACACTCCCGGCATTTCTTCCGGCCAAAGAACCTGCTCCAACAGTTCAACCACATGAAGTATCTAAAAAGCTCTTAGAAATTAAACCTTTTAAAGCTCACGGCCCAGATAACGTCCCCTTGTCGTATCCTGAAAGAGTTTGCCCATGAATTAGCCGAACCTGTTGCAACTATTTTCAACGAATCACTTTCATCTGGAATCGTGCCTGCAATATGGAAAGACTCAGACATCATACCAGTTCCAAAATCACAATCTCCTACCTGTGAAGGTGACACCAGACCCATCTCACTGACACCCTGCCTGGCTAAGGTTCTTGACGATTTCGTGGTCGGGTGGATGATAACCGATATTAAAGACAAGATCGACCCCAGGCAGTTTGGATGCTTGAAAGGAACATCCACAACTTATTGTCTTTTAGACATGATCCACACTTGGTTGTGCAACTTAGAGTGTCCTGAAAAACATCTTAGACTTTGTTTCCTTGACTTCGAAAAGGCGTTTGACCGTATAGGACATAATTTATTAATATTAAAGCTGTTGGACCTAGGTGTTAGATCGTCCCTGTTGCCTTGGATTATCAACTTCCTAACTAACCGCCGTCATCGGGTCAAACTTGGAGGGAAAACGTCAAACTGGTTGCCAATGAATGCGGGTGTCCCCCAGGGAACTAAACTCGGTCCAATTCTGTTTTTGGCGATGATAAATGATCTCGATGTGAAACCACACGCAACGGATATTTGGAAATTTGTGGATGACATATCAACATCTGAAAATATCACAAAAGGCAGCAATTCAAAGTTTCAGTTCTGCATTGATACTATAAATTCTTGGGCTTCGTGCAACCTTATGAAACTTAACCCCAAAAAGTGCAAAGAACTACGCGTTTGCTTTCTGAGGGAATCACCTGATTTATCACCATTGTTGATTGATGGTCATGCGCTTGAGGTTGTGCGGTCTCATAAAGTGCTAGGTCTGGTTATTCAAAATGATCTAAAATGGAATGCACACATAGAATCAGTTGTATCCAAGGCTTCTAAACGTTTATATATCATCCGCATATTACGACGAGGTCGTGTCCCTGTGGAGGACTTATTGAGTATATACTTTGCCTTAATACCATCGGTTCTGGAGTACTGCTGTGTGGTATGGCATCATGCCCCACCTTTGTACCTCGCCGATGAGTTAGAGCGAGTGCAAAAACGAGCGCTGAGGATTATTTTACCGGGTTACTCTTATAGGGAAGCATTAGCACAACTTGGGTGTTCCAGATTGGATGAAAGGCGAGAACGACATTGCCTCAATACTATGAAACGCATAGAAATTGAAGGACCACTGTCAAAATATGTTCCATTGTCTAGGGCTAGTTAAAATGATTATGAACTTAGAAACTCTAACACATTAACAACAATAAAATGCCGAACAGAAAGATATCGCCGTAGCTTTTTTCCCAGTACAGTAGCTCTATATAATAGTTATAGTAAAGAAACTTAAGCGTGATACTTAATTACGATGATTTTAATGCAATTCAATAAGGTTTTTAGACTTGATGCATGCAACTAAATTTTTATATATGTAAATATATAGCGTACCAATTTTGTAAACGCACCATAATTCAATCTATTGCGAAGGTGTGTATCTTAAACCATTAATAATAATAATAATAATAATAATAAAAAAGGGGGAATCCTTGATTATATAAGCTTCATGCTGTCAATAATGCAAAGATTCTGTAGAATATATGCTTTGCTGCACATCCGTGTGAAACCTAAAATCGTGTTCGCTTATTTGCGGCTTATCTACCCCTAATTATTTCAATATGTATTAAATGAGGGTTAGATGAAGTTTAAACCAAATGTTGTTTTTACCAGTGAATTTTTAACGCGGGCTCGGTGAAAAATCACATGTGTCGACAATTAATTTTACCCAGCACTGCACAGAATGCCTTGCGCAAACGTTGCGTCTCGAGTCACTGGCGGCTTGGCCCCACCTGGGCTTTTGCTGCCCCCCTGACCGAAAATCCTGGCTACGCCTCTGAGTTTGAAACAAGTTGTTAACAATTTGTAACAGCCTTGATGGCATTATCAGACTTGTTGCAAGGTTGTTCTAACAAGTCTGATACAGTCATGATAAACAAGAATGTTACAAGGTTGACGACACAAGGTTGTAACAATATTGTGATCACGACTGTATCGGACTTGTTGGAACAACCTTGTAACAAGTCTGATAATATCAACAAGGGTGTTACAAATTGTTAACAGCTTGTTCCAAACTTGTTGACGACTTGTGACAAGCAGTGCGAAGACAGCTTGTTGACAGACTTGCTACAAGATGTAAGATTTTTGCGTGTGTAGTCTATTCAGCGGAATTTCGTCAACTGGAGGCGGCTTATTCGTCTCGCCTGTCATACTCTGAACCACCACCATGATCAAAAGAGACGAAAATCAGACAGAAGGAAAAGAAAACGACTCGATACAAGAGTCGAAAACTAAAGTCACGACCCATGTTGCAACTGCAAGCGTCGTTCAGCAACTAATAGGGAGCTTTAGATTTGACTACGAATACGACTACGAGTACGAGATTCGACAAGCGAAAACGCATGCTGTATGCTTACGCCATCCCGTACTGACGCGAAAAAGTCGTAGCCGTCGCCCATCTGAGAACGAACTTGCGGAGAAATCTCGTAGTCCTCACGACGACTTTTCAAAAAAACAAAGAAAGTTGGCTTTTTTTTGTTTTCCAAAAATAATTTGTAGCATTTATATAGCGTTTATCCGGCGCAAATAATATATTAATACTAAATATCTGGCCTGTTTTTAATGTCATGACTTATTTTCACGTTTTGTAGGGGATTTTAGTCTGCAGGAGATTTAGTTTATGAAACTTTTTCTCTCGTTGTTGGTTTACTGCTATAAAAACAACATTTGAGTGAAAACGAAAACGACTACGGTAATTTCCTAGCACGCGATCAAATCTCGTACTCGTAGTCGTACTCGTAGTCAAATCTAAAGCTCCGTATTATTTCGCACAACAGTGTCAACACAAAGTTTAAAAACGTTTGCGTTTTCTATTTCACCAGCTGTTCCACGGGTCATTCACTTCATACACTCAGAACGCTAATAAGGAGGCTCGTTACTGATATTGAAATTTCAGGACGAATAGTTTGATATTATTTAAATTTCGTAGTTTTACGTTTCATACTGGGCCTGGGGAATTAAGTTTTACATATTTTTAAAATCGTACCATGTACTACATTAAAAGTTTCGTCTTCCAAATTAAAGGGCCATATATGACTCGAAAATTGACGGTGTTATATTTTTGTCTGATACGAAAAATCATTTAAAACTGTATAGTCTATGGAGTAACTTCTTTGATAGATATTTCATTTTGTATGATATGGAAAGGGAAAACTTCCTACTTCACATATGCATAATGATTTAGCCCGAAAAGCTGTATTTCTTTAATACGACTAAACACAATCAGTAGAAAACCTACATGGTTGCTGTCGTGGAGAAATCTCTTGCTTATCATTCATTTTGAGCGATTTTATTTGATGGTGACAACATTATATAACATTTTAAAGTAAATCATTATCCATATATGGTCGTAACGATCGTAAAGATTGATCGAGTCACGATCTTCTCATCAGCCGAAATACAACATTTTAGAACTGCAAATACGCGGAGTGATTGTAACTAGAGAATACTTATGATTTAGATGTGGTTTACATGTATAAACTATTATAAACTGGCCGTTGAGAAAGATCGTGACTATATTTTTACGACCATTACGACCATTTGGAACCCAGGCTTAAACGGCCAACAGATGAAATGAAGCTGGATTCGGCCAACAGATGAAATGAAGGCCAACAGATGAAATGAAGCTGGAGAGAGCGATTCGCAACGTCTTTTTGGTTTTTCTTATTGGTTATTATTTCCGCGCACATGAAGAGTCATGCAGGTTTATCGGCAGTTCATAAGAAATTTCGTGAGTATTTATTTGCCCAACCATCTTGTCCTTTAATATAGGACGTTGCATATATTTCTGCTCATCTTTCAATAGTTCTGACGATATTGTGTCGTAGGCAACCAAGTGTTAATTTAAGCCCATTTTCCACTAGGCGAATTTGTTCACGCGAAGAAACAAATCATGGCAATGTGATTGGTCAGCGAAAAAGTTCGCCGCGAAAACGTTGGATGAGTTCCTAGTAGGCAAAAACACTTTTCAGTTCAGAGTAATTCAGAGTTGTATAAACTGCCTATAGTGTGTTTAATATAGCACTGAATAACCGATTTGACTAACTCACGGGCATTCAATATTGATGACGTCAATACAATTAGCCTTTCTCACGACGACGAATATCCGCCATTTTTGGGTGCCATCTAATTGTAGTTAACCAATGCAGACAATTACAATAAAACAATTGAAAAGCAATTTTTCAAAATAAACTAACCATTTACAAAGCAAATTTACCCATATCTGTCCAAAAAATTATAAAAAGACGCTGTTATGTGGACTTATCTCGCAGACTTCGACTGAAACGCTACACAAAAATGGCGGCATGAGTAAGGCTAACTGAATTAGAGTTAAGCCAGTTTTTCACTTCAAGTGGAACTAATGACTTGGACAAAAAAGAAAATGCTGTGATACCACAGAGGCGATACGGTCGAAGTGGAAAACTGGCTTATTATAACGGCCTTTTCCACTTCAAGCGTAACGTACCGACATGTATCAAAACAAATTTTAAATTTCAAAATTTAGTGAATGTTGATTGGTTAATACTTCCGTAGTACGCTAAGAAGTTGACTTGCGGCGAACTTTTTATTTTGACACGGGAATCAACCGGAAGTACGTAAATTTGAAAACCCATCTTCAAGCTGCGCATGCTCACCGGTTCGTCACGATACGATGCGAGCGAAGTGGAAAACGGCCTTATTGTGTATAGGGCGAGGGTTACGGTTAGGCAATTGCTAGATAGTATACTTCAAAATAAGGTTTCCCTTTTTATATCAATTTTTAAAAAAGTTAGGGTTAGGTTGGGGTTAGGTTAGGGTTAGGGTTAGTATTAGGGTTAGGGTTTAGTTTTGCGTTAAGATAGTTTTTTCTACGTTAACAAAACGGAAACCTTATTTTGAAGTATACTATCTAGCGATCACCGTTACGGTTAGGATCAACAACAAACCACAAAATCCAAACTCTTGCACATGCGTAATATTGCCACATTTGAATAGAGAAACTCTTCAGTGAAAGTTACATAAAGTAGTAAAGTATCTCCTATTTATAAGATATTCTGAATTTCCAGTACGGCGACTTTTGGCGAAAGTTTTGAATTGTGTAAAATTTCGAACGGAGCTGAACTTGTTGGCGCTGAAAAACATTCTGAAGACAACCATTTTATTGCGCAAATTTCCTGAGATTTTCGGCATGGAGACTGACGGGGCTCCCCTTCATGAAACCAAATTAGAAAGATAGAAATTTTCCTTTTTTTTTACTTTATTACAAACACCTAAACTAAAATACAATGTATACATTATAACGTACTTTTTAAATTAATAGCATTATATATTTTAAGCGTTATCACTTTGAGTAGAATACGTTCCATTTTTTACAAGTGGTGTACATGATTACAGACTATAGATTTCAAATTAAACGCTGTTCATTGATTACTGTTTAAATATTATTCAATATATACACATGTTTTCTTTATATATTAATACTTGTTTGCCTGCTTAACTTGCTTGCTTACTAATTTACACTTATACAGCCGACTTACTTCTACTATGGTCTATTCAGCGGTATTTCGTTAACTGGCGGCTTATTGTTTGGTGGGAAGTATTTTTTCTTGAGCAACTGATAATTTCTTCGTGTGAAGACAAACGCAGTACCAATGTAGGCACCAGTAAGCAACGTTACAGTATACAACGCTTTCTTTATGTCGAAATCAAAATCCACGATTCTAGATATGAAGAGAGGAAACCAATAACTTAAGGCTGTAGTGGTTGACAGCTTGAGCAATATGACAAATTTACGACGCTTAACAACATTCGATTTCTGTGCAATGTTCCTGCTTGCCTTGAGTTTTTGGCGAATTCGATGAGCAGTGAAGATGAACATTCCAATAATGTACAACAAAAGACAACCTTGAAGTCCATATACATCAACATCAGCTGACCAATCGGGAGTAATTCGACCATTGATACAATCTCCAGAGATCTGTTGATAAATCCTTGCATCATCTTCCTTCCCATCTTCATTTGCGAATACAATGCGTTCATAAAACTTTAAGCTTGACTGAACATCTTTCTTCAAAGATACAATAGGTTGATAAATCCTTGCATCATCTTCCGCCGCATCTTGCTTCTCAAGTACAGTGCTTTGATTTAACCTCGACTTTGATTGCAGGACATTATCCTTCAAGGATGCAACACGGTGATAAATCCTTATATTATTTGCCGTCGTCATTCCGTTCGCAATGCGTCGATAAAATCTTAAGCTCGTTTGAACGTCGTTCTTCACAGACGCAACAGGTTGATCAAACCTTAGAACATCTTCCTTTATTAGTACAATGTAAACAATCGTTATTATGACGGGAACTCCCCAGCTAAAGAAACTATACTTCAAAAACCTGTTCCACTTCTTCAGTTCATCAGATTTCACCAGAGTATTGCCGCAAAATGTTTTCCTTAAGTGATAGATGTTAACAGCAGCGTTCATAATTATGCTATACGTCATAAACTTATTTGCTACAAACAGCCTAGCACACGGTATATCAAACAGTTTACCTACATGAGAATACAGTGACAAAAATACTACAAGGTAAGTCTGCCACAACAGCAAGGCGAAGCTAAAACTCATTAAATTCAAACCAGGAAGTGTGCGCAGTTCTGGAAGCATGCAGTAAACTATCAACAACAACAGTAAAGAAATAATAGAGAGCGCTAAAGCACATAATGGTGCTATAATAATCCTAAAGTTTGTAATTACGTATGCTGGTCTTAAGTTTTCTTTGCCGCATACATAAGGTTTACCGTCTATCACCGCATAGTCATTTCTTTTGAAATATTGACCGTTATCTGCCGAATACACAGCAAACTGATTAGTCACAGCGTAGTATCTTGCATTTAATTTATAAGAACCGTAACAGGATGCGGGTAATGACTTTTGCCACGAATTTCCCGTTCTCCAAATCGCCTGAACTCTTGAATCATCGGAACCACACATTTCAAGACTGTCGTGAGTTAATCGATATTCGCGATAATCGTATATCTTGTTGTGGTAAAACAGCGAAAAGTTTTTAAAAACATTGTACTGTTCATCGTACTTTACTTTGACCAAATCATCATTGCAGGACAATCTAAGTTTTGACGAACAAATTGCAAAATATCCCAAAATCACTCCATAATCTTGTCTGGCGAAATTTTGATCGGTAGGTTTGAAGAAAACAGTAAAGTTTGTATGTAATGTGTAATTTTCGGAGTAAAAACCGTCCACAGATACATTGCAATGGTTGATGAAAGGTATCGTTATCTTTTCCCAAACAATGAAATTCCGCCATTTTTCTTTAATGAGACGGTCAGAAGAATTACAAACGTGTAGACCATCGTCCATTGTTCTGTACTCATCGTAAGAGTACATTCGACCTTGGTACATCATTGAGAAGTTGTTCCATACTCTGTAATCATTTTCATATTTTATAGTAAAGGTAAAATTAGCGCATTCAGTCACACATGTTTCAAGTTCACCTTCAAACACAGCATAATCGTACTTTGTTACTAGCTGCTTTGTTGCCAAAATCTGAACTCTAAAGTCCTTGAGCACAGTGTATTCCCATCGGTCGAACACAGTGTATGTAATGGGTTTATTGCAACTTTTTTCATGTATTGTCGCCTTTACCCATTTATTGCGTACTTTCCAAATATTATTTACGTAGTTATTAATGGAGTTACAAATCTTTATGCTATCATTCAGAACTCGATCGTACACATTGTTCTTATAGAGTATTGAAAAGTCAGTCCGAACTTTGTATTCATCATCGTATTTTATATTGATGATTGAATCCTTGCACATTAATAGATCTTCCTGGGTATACTCTGTTGATTCGGGTCTGAACTTCTCATCGCATATATAAGGTTTACCGTCTTCCAGTCCATACTCATTTCTTGTGAAATATTGACTTTCACCTGCGGAATAGACAGTGAAGTGCTTATTCACAATGTAATACTCTCGGTACAACCAATACTCCCGGATGGGTTTATTGCAACTTTTTTGATGCGTTCCCGCCTTCACCCATTTATTGCGTACTTTCCACATATTCCTTACGTAGATGTTAGTAGAGTTACAAATCTTTATGCTATCATTCAGAACTCGATACTCAGTATAATCGTACATCTTGTTCTTATAGAGGATTGAAAAGTCAGTCCGAACTTTGTATTCATCATCGTATTTTATATCGATGATTGAATCGTTGCACATTAATAGATCTTCCTGGGTATACTCTGTTGAATCGGGTCTGTTGTTTTCTTCGCATATTGTAAGTTTGCCGTCGTCCAGCCAATAGTCATTTCTTGTAAAATAATGACCATCACCTCCCGAATAGACACTGAACTGCTTATTCACAGTGTAATACTTTCGGTACAACCAAAATGTCCTGATGGGTTTCTTGCAACTTTTACGATGCATTTCTTCCTTTACCCAGTAATTACGAAGTTTCCAAATATTTTGTACGTAGGTATCAGTGGAGTTACAAATCTTTATGCCATCATTCAGAACTCGATACTCCGTATAATTGTACACCTTGTTTTTATAGAACATTGAAAAGTCAGTCCGAACTTTGTGTTCATCATCGTATGTTATACTGATGATTGAATCGTTGCAAATTAATAGATCTTCCTGGGTATACTCTGTTGATTCGGATCTTAACTTTTCTTCGCATGTATAAGGTTTACCGTCTTCCACTCCATACTCATTTCTTGTGAAATATTGACCACGGCGTCCCAAATAGACAGTGAACTGCTTATTTACAGTGTAGTAATTTCGGAACCAAGACTCTGTAATGGGTTTATTGCAACTTTTTTGATGTATTTTCACCTTTACCCATTTATTGCGTACTTTCCAAATATTCCGTACGTAGTTATCAGTGGAGTTACAAGTCTTTATGCTATCATTCAGAACTCGATACTCGGTATAATCGTACATCTTATTCTTATAGAGTATTGAAAAGTCAGTCCGAATTTTGTATTTTTCATCGTATGTTATATTGATGATTGAATCGTTGCACATTAATAGATCTTCCTGGGTATACTCGGTTGATATGGATCTTAACTTTTCTGTGCATGTAAAAGGTTTACCGTCTTCCACTCCATACTCATTTCTTGTGAAAAATTGACCACGATCTCCCAAATAGACAGTGAACTGCTTATTCACAGTGTAGTAATTTAGGATCTAAGACTCTTTGATTTGGTTATAGCAACTTTTTTGATGTATTTTCGCCTTTACCCATTTATTGCGTACTTTCCAAATATTCCTTACGTAGTTATCAGTGGAGTTACAAATCTTTGTGCTGTCATTCAGAACTCGATACTCGGTATAATCGTACACCTTGTTCTTATAGAGTATTGAAAAGTCAGTCCGAATTTTGTATTCATCGTCGTATTTTATATTGATGATTGAGTCGTTGCACATTAATATATCTTCCTGGGTATACTCTGTTGATATTGGTTTGACGTTTTCTTTGCATATTGCAAATTTACCGGCTTCCACCCCATAGGCGTTTCTTGTGAAATGTTGACTCCTGGCTACGAGATAGACAGTGGACTGCTTATTCACAGTGTAAAACTTTCTGTCAAACCAAGCGGTTCTAATTGGTTTATTGCAACTTTTTTGATGTATTGTCTTTTTTACCCATTTATTGCGTACTTTCCAAATATTCCGTACGTAGGTATCAGTGGCGTTACAAATCTTTATGCTATCATTCAGAACTCGATACTCAGTATAATCGTACATCTTATTCTTATGGAGTATTGAAAAGTCAGTCCGAATTTTATATTTTTCATGGTATGTTATATTGATGATTGAATCGTTGCACATTAATAGATCTTCCTGGGTATACTCTGTTGATTCGGATCTTAACTTTTCATCACATGTAAAAGGTTTACCGTCTTCCACTCCGTACTCATTTCTTGTGAAATATTGACCACGACGTCCCAAATAGACAGTGAACTGCTTATTTACAGTGTAATAATTTCGGATCCAAGACTCTGTAATGGGTTTATTGCAACGTCTTTGATGTATTTTCGCCTTTACCCATTTATTGCGTACTTTCCAAATATTCCTTACGTAGTTATCAGTGGAATTACAGATCCTTATGCTATCATTCAGAACTCGATACTCGGTATAATCGTACACCTTGTTCTTATAGAGTATTGAAAAGTCAGTCCGAATTTTGTATTCATCGTCGTATTTTATATTGATGATTGAATCGTTGCACATTAATAGATCTTCCTGGGTATAGTCTGTTGATTCGGATCTTAACTTTTCATCACATGTAAAAGGTTTACCGTCTTCCACTCCGTACTCATTTCTTGTGAAATATTGACCACGACGTCCCAAATAGACAGTGAACTGCTTATTTACAGTGTAATAATTTCGGATCCAAGACTCTGTAATGGGTTTATTGCAACGTCTTTGATGTATTTTCGCCTTTACCCATTTATTGCGTACTTTCCAAATATTCCTTACGTAGTTATCAGTGGAATTACAGATCCTTATGCTATCATTCAGAACTCGATACTCGGTATAATCGTACACCTTGTTCTTATAGAGTACTGAAAAGTCAGTCCGAATTTTGTATTCATCGTCGTATTTTATATTGATGATTGAGTCGTTGCACATTAATATATCTTCCTGGGTATACTCTGTTGATATTGGTTTGACGTTTTCTTTGCATATTGCAAATTTACCGGCTTCCACCCCATAGGCGTTTCTTGTGAAATGTTGACTCCTGGCTACGAGATAGACAGTGGACTGTTTATTCACAGTGTAAATCTTTCTGTCAAACCAAGCGGTTCTAATGGGTTTATTGCAACTTTTTTGATGTATTGTCTTTTTTACCCATTTATTGCGTACTTTCCAAATATTCCGTACGTAGGTATCAGTGGCGTTACAAATCTTTATGCTATCATTCAGAACTCGATACTCAGTATAATCGTATATCTTATTCTTATGGAGTATTGAAAAGTCAGTCCGAATTTTGTATTCATCGTCGTATTTTATATTGATGATTGAATCGTTGCACATTAATATATCTTCCTGGGTATACTCTGTTGATATTGGTTTGACCTTTTCTTTGCATATTGCAAATTTACCGGCTTCCACCCCATAGGCGTTTCTTGTGAAATGTTGACTCCTAGCTACGAGATAGACAGTGGACTGCTTATTCACAGTGTAAAACTTTCTGTCAAACCAAGCGGTTCTAATGGGTTTATTGCAACTTTTTTGATGTATTGTCGCCTTTACCCATTTATTGCGTATTTTCCAAATATTCCTTACGTAATTATCAGTGGAGTTACAAATCTTTATGCCATCATTCAGAACTCGATACTCGGTATAATCGTACATCTTATTCTTATGGAGTATTGAAAAGTCAGTCCGAATTTTGTATTTTTCATCGTATTTTATATTGATGATTGAATCGTTGCACATTAATAGATCTTCCTTGGTATACTCTGTTGACATGGTTCTCAACTTTTCATCGCATATATAATGTTGAGCGTCTTTTACCCCATAGTCATTTCTTGTGAAATATTGACTCCTAGCTGCGAAATAGACAGTAAACTGCTTATTCACAGTGTAATACTTTCGGTAAGGCCAAAAAGTTCTAATGGGTTTATTGCAAGTTTTTTGATGCATTGTCTCCTTTACCCATTTATTGCGTACTTTCCAAATATTCCCTACGTAATTATCAGTGGAGTTACAAATCCTTATGCTATCATTCAGAACTCGATACTCAGTATAGTTGTACACCTTGTTCTTATAGAGTATTGAAAAGTCAGTCCGAACTTTGTATTCATCATCGTATTTTATACTGATAATTGAATCGTTGCACATTAATAGATCTTTCTGGGTATACTCTGTTGATATTGGTTTGACCTTTTCTTTGCATATTGCAAATTTACCGGCTTCCACCCCATAGGCGTTTCTTGTGAAATGTTGACTCCTAGCTACGAGATAGACAGTGGACTGCTTATTCACAGTGTAAAACTTTCTGTCAAACCAAGCGGTTCTAATGGGTTTATTGCAACTTTTTTGATGTATTGTCGCCTTTACCCATTTATTGCGTATTTTCCATATATTCCTTACGTAATTATCAGTGGAGTTACAAATCTTTATGCCATCATTCAGAACTCGATACTCGGTATAATCGTACATCTTATTCTCATGGAGTATTGAAAAGTCAGTCCGAATTTTGTATTTTTCATCGTATTTTATATTGATGATTGAATCGTTGCACATTAATAGATCTTCCTGGGTATACTCGGTTGATATGGGTCTCAGCTTTTCTTTGCATATATAAGGTTTACCGTATTTCACTCCATAATCGTTTCTTGTGAAATATTGTCTCCTAAGTGCGTAAAAGACAGTGAACTGCTTATTCACAGTGTAATACTCTCTGTTAAACCTAAAGGTTCTAATGGGTTTATTGCAACTTTTACGATGGTTTGTCGCCTTTATCCATTTATTGCGCACTTTCCAAATATTCCTTACGTAGTTATCAGTAGAGTTACAAATCTTTATGCTATCATTCAGAACTCGATACTCGGTATAATCGTACACCTTGTTCTTATAGAGTATTGAAAAGTCAGTCCGAACTTTGTATTCATCATCGTGTTTTATATTGATGATTGAATCGTTGCACATTAATAGATCTTCCTGGGTATACTCGGTTGATATGGGTCTCAGCTTTTCTTTGCATATATAAGGTTTACCGTATTTCACTCCATAATCGTTTCTTGTGAAATATTGTCTCCTAAGTGCGTAAAAGACAGTGAACTGCTTATTCACAGTGTAATACTCTCTGTTAAACCTAAAGGTTCTAATGGGTTTATTGCAACTTTTACGATGGTTTGTCGCCTTTATCCATTTATTGCGCACTTTCCAAATATTCCTTACGTAGTTATCAGTAGAGTTACAAATCTTTATGCTATCATTCAGAACTCGATACTCGGTATAATCGTACACCTTGTTCTTATAGAGTATTGAAAAGTCAGTCCGAACTTTGTATTCATCATCGTGTTTTATATTGATGATTGAATCGTTGCACATTAATAGATCTTCCTGGGTATACTCGGTTGATATGGGTCTCAGCTTTTCTTTGCATATATAAGGTTTACCGTATTTCACTCCATAATCGTTTCTTGTGAAATATTGTCTCCTAAGTGCGTAAAAGACAGTGAACTGCTTATTCACAGTGTAATACTCTCTGTTAAACCTAAAGGTTCTAATGGGTTTATTGCAACTTTTACGATGGTTTGTCGCCTTTATCCATTTATTGCGTGCTTTCCAAGTATTCCCTACGTGGTTATCAGTGGAGTTACAAATCGTTATGCCATCATCCAGAACTCGATACTCAGTATAATCGTACACCTTGTTCTTATAGAGTATTGAAAAGTCATTCCGAACTTTGTATTCATCGTATTTTATATTGATGATTGAATCGTTGCACATTAGTAGATCTTCCTGGGTATATTCGGTTGATGTGGGTCTCAGCTTTTCTCTGCATATATAAGGTTTTCCGTATTTCACTCCATAGTTATTTCTTGTGAAATATTGACTCCTAGTTGCGAGATAGACAGTGAAGTGCTTATTCACGGTATAGTACCTTGCGTCTGATAATTTATCAACAGATCCTCGGCATGTATACTGGTCTTTAAGCTGTTCCCAAGAATTTCGAGTTCTCCAAATGGCCCGAATTCTTGAATCATTGGCAGCGCACATTTCAAGACTGTCGTTTCCGAATTGATATTCGTGATAATCGTACATCCGGTTGTTTGTAAACAGCGAAAAGTTTTGAAAAACGTTGTACTGATCGCCGTATTTCACTTTAACCAAATAATCTTTGCAGGACAGACTAAGCTTTGCGGAACAAATTGCAAAATATCCAAAAGTCACTCCGTAATCTTGCCTTGTGAAACTCTGCTCTGTAGGTTTGAAGAAAACAGTAAAATTTCTGTATAATGTGTAATTAGAGTAGTAAAACGCGTCCACGGATACATTACAATATTTGGAAGCCAACACTTCCTTTTCCCGAGCAATCAAACCCCACCTTCGTTGTTTAATAAAGGGGTCAGAAGAATTACAAACTTGTAGACCATCGTCCGTTACTCTGTACTGGTTATAACGGTACATTCGGCTTTGGTACATCATTGAAAAGTTGTTCCATACTCTATAATTATCTTCATAATTTATAGTAAAGGTAAAATTGGCGCTTTCGGTCGGACTTTCCAAGATCGTATCAAAATCACGTCTGTTCCGGAGATGTTGAGTTGTGAGTGATGCGAACGTTTCTCTTTTGGCTGTTTCTCTCAAGTAATTCTGGTGAACTATTTGATTTTCCAACGAAGATATATTTTTATTGCCATCGTTTTGCCATTCTGTCTTATTTGAGTGGGAGATGGTTATCGATTCTTTGCGTGGAACGTTTACCTCAGATGGCGTTGAAGTTGAAAACGGCAGTACTGGGCTGTTTTGTATTCTTTCGCTTTGAAGTGTTTTCATCGCAGTTTCTAAAAATAAATTATGGTTGACGATTACTCCTTGCGAAGTGCTAACATTCTCACATTTTCAAATTTACCTTTTCTAACCATCTTTGAAAGATAAGTTTTCTTCCGCGCCTTGCGGCCATCAATTTGTTTCGCATTTTCTGTCAAGTTAGGGATGCGTTCGTCTTGTTCGAGAGAAACGTCAACATTCAAGGCTTTACCTTTGAATTCATCTTTTAATTTGTTCGGTTGTGTTTTATCTTCTCGCCTGTCATACTCTGAACTACCACCATGATAAAAACAGGCGAACATCAGACAGAACATCACAGAAGGAAAAGAAAACGATTCGATACAAGAGTCGAAAACTAAAACCACGACCCATGTTGCAACTGCAAGCGTCGTTCAGCAACTGTGTGTTTTTTTCGGCAAAACACAAAGTTTAAAAACGTTTTCAAGTTTGAGTTTTTCAATTTCACCAGCTGTTCCACTGGTGATACACTTATACACTCAAAACGCTAATAAGGATACTCGCGTTACTGATATTGAAATTTCAGGTCGAATAGTTTGATATTGTTTAAATTTCGTATTTTTACGTTTCGTATATGGGGAAATACTTCTATGGTTTTGGCAAACAAAATTAGGCGGCCTTGACGCGAGATACTGAAATGTTTAGCAACATTCTGTGCACATGAACAACAAAACATGTCAAGGGAAACTTGTCAAAGAAAACTTGTTGACAACACACACGAGCAACAAAATTTGTCAAGAAACTTGTGCTCGTCTGTATACAGGGCTCAAGTGTTACGAAAATTAATTTGGAAGACGAAACATTTTAACGTATGTAGGCTACATGCCATAATTTTAAAAATATGTAAGTTACATATTTTTAAAATTATGGCATGTACATAGGCCTACATTAAAATATTTCGTGTTCCAAATTAATTTTCGTTACACTTGAGCCCTGTATACAGACCAGCACAAGTTCCTTGACAAATTTTGTTTCTCGTGTGTGCGGTCAACAAGTTTCACTTGACAAGTTTCCCGTGACCGATGTTTTAATTGTCGCTCGACGCTCGTGTGCAGGGAATGTTGTTAAACATTTATCTCACGTCAAGGCCGCCTAATTTTGTTTGTCAAAACCATAAAAGTATTTAATTCTTGTTCACTTGTCAAGTTTTCTTTGGCGGCCCTACACACGAACAAATTTTCCTTGTCCAAAAGCTGGCATGACTATATATAGCTTTGGAACAAGGCTCTTTGGTAAGGAAAAATTGTCAATTTTTCGTCGTACACACGAGCAAATAAAGTTTATCAAGAAAATTTGCCCATCTTGTGAGATATTGTTTATTAATAGACATTTATAAATAGGACATTACGTACGCGTCATAGGGGCGTGGACTATAAGACAGTAGGTTGTTGTTTTGGGGATTTTTACGTTGAAGAATCGAACTAATGAACTAGAGTCTAGATTCGAATTGATATTATGAGAAAGTCTTACTAGGGAATATAATACATCTAATTGAGCAGTCTAAAATATATTACATGGTCCTTCAGAGCTGGATTAAATTGAGGATAAAATGAGTAATATCAAGAAGAAAATAAAGATACGACAGGGTCATAGAGTTTATCTTACGAAGATTCTGGGCAATGCCCATGATATTGTTCAAAACTACGATGGAAATCAAGAAAAGAAACTAAAGCAAATCAGGATCACTCTAAAAGAACGATTGGACACTTTAAAGACCCTTGACGAAGAGATTCTAGAGCTTATCGAAGCTGACGAGGAAATATCTACTGAGATCGAAGAAGCAGGAAAATATCGCGAGAGTGTTCACGAAATGATTGTAAATATCGACAGCGTGCTCGAGGCCAAACCGATGAATGAAACTATGTCTATGAGTATGAACGATTCACAGCAACTATCTACACCAGGACATTATCAATCGACAATAAAACATGCGAAGTTGCCAAAACTTACTCTAAAACAATTTGATGGACAGCCATGCGAATGGCAAGCATTTTGGGACAGTTTTAAGTGCGCAATACATGAGAATCCGGGGTTATCCGACGTGGATAAATTCAATTACTTAAAAAGTTTACTGGAAAAGTCTGCAGCAGTGCAGCAGCCACGATCGAGGGTTTATCGTTGACAGAGAGTAACTATGAAACTGCGATTGAATTATTACAGCAAAGATTCGGAGACAAGCAAGTTGTCATTAGTAGCCATATGGATAGTTTATTAAAACTCCCACAACTACGTTCATCTACCGATACTAAAGGTTTACGGCGTCTTTATGATCAAATCGAAGCACACGTGAGAGGGCTAAAATCGTTAGACGTGCCAGACACGGAATACGGAGCGTTGTTATTACCGATTTTAATCGGCAAAATACCCGACGAAATACGCATTTTACTCGGTCGCAAAATGACAGGCGAATCATGGAATTTGAATACGTTACTTGAGAATTTTCGCGAGGAATTGGAAAACCGGGAAAGATGCGAAGGAATTCAAGCTTTATCCTTTAGAGACGGTCGAAATTTCAACGAACAACGAGGAGGGAGAAAATATTCGAACACGCCATTTACGGCAGCAGCGCTAATGACGGGGAAGACAACTATTAACTGTTCGTTTTGTCAACAAGAACATACGTCAGCTAGTTGTTTTGTTGTTACGGATATCGAAGCAAGAAAACAGATCTTACGAAAGCAAGGACGATGTTTTTTGTGTCTCAAACGAAATCATATTGCTCGGGATTCCGAATCAAGGTATATGTGCAAATATTGCTCGGGAAAGCATCATGTTAGTCTGTGTAATAATAATTCGAGACAGTCCTTAGCAACAAATTCGAGACAGTCCTTAGCAACAAATTCGAGACAGTCCTTAGCAACGAGACAAGAATCAAATTCCAGACAGCAATTAGGAAATGTACAAGATAGTCTAGCTAAAGAACAAACAACACAATCAAGGGACACGAAAGACACAGGAAACACGAAAGAGACCAGAAATTATCACGCATGTTTACAAGATTCAGTCTTATTACAAATGATGAGGAACAAAAGGACATGATGCGTTTCTTGTGGATTGATGACATAAACAAGGAAAATCCATATGTTGAAGTCTACCGCTTCTGTAGGGTTATTTTTGGCATGAAGTGCTCTCCATTTCTCCTGAACGCAACATTACGTCACCACATTACGAATTACTATTATGATGACCCTAGCTTTGCAGAAAGGATTCTTTCTGAGCTTTACGTTGATGATTGGTCAGGAGGAGGAGAATCCACAGATGATGCATATATAATGTATCGACAGATGAAATCTTGTTTCGCAGCGGGCAATTTTAATCTGCGGAAATGGGCTACCAATAGTCCAGTATTGATGGCTCAGATTCAGAATGATGAGGAAGTATTAAAGTCACTAACCACAGAGCATTTGAACAACACCGGTGAAAGTTCATATGCTAAAGAGTCGATTGGCGGTCTGGAAGAAATAGAAACCCCGAAGGAACATAAGGTACTTGGGATGAATTGGGATACTGACAGTGATACTTTTGTTTTAAAGTTAACAAAAGTTGTTCAATTTGCAAGAAATTTAGAGCCGTCAAAACGGAACGTTTTAAAGATAGCAGCAAAACTGTTTGATCCACTCGGACTTCTCTCGCCAGTTACTGTCTTGCTGAGAATGCTTCTACAAGAATTGTGTGCAGCTAAGTATGAATGGGATGCAGTCATATCAGAATCCAATCAGAAGGTGCTCGAGAAATGGATTGATGATTTAGAGACGGTGAGTTCTATAGTTGTACCTAGATATTACTTTTTGGCAGAGGAGAGGAATCCTGAAAGTGTGACTCTTCACGGATTTGGAGATGCTTCCCAAAAAGCTTGTTGTGCTGTCATTTATATATGCATGGAAACAGACAGTGGCCGCACAACAAATCTTGTTGCCTCGAAAAGTAGAGTCACCCCATTAGCACCAATGTCTACCCCTCGACTTGAGTTAATAGCAGCATTGATATTAGCACGTCTCATGTCAGTTGTTAAAGAGACTCTAAGCAAAATCTTTAACATCACGGAGACCACTTGTTGGACGGACAGCTCCACTGTCCTTCACTGGATTAAGGGTAAGAAGGATTATAAACAATTTGTACAAAACAGAATCGACGAAATTCTACGATTAACTGATTCAGAAACTTGGAGATTTTGCCCAGGTTTAGAAAACCCAGCGGATATTGGT